AAAATTTGAAAATTTCATATTAAAATATTTAAAATTTCCAGCTTCAGCCGTTTCCAGCTTCAGCCGCAACATTAATTATTTTAAAATTATTATTATTAGATTTAGAAAAAATCTAAACAGTGCACTATACACTTTGTATACTTTATAGCAAAATTAAGCTGGTAATAGTATTAGGTTAGGTTAAGATTAAAATTAGAGTTAGGTTTAAAGTTAAGATAAAGTAAAATTTTGAGAGAAACATTTTTGCTTATGTTATACAACAGGATTATCTAGTCAAAATTTTGAGAAATTAGCAATTTTATAGAAAGATTTACAAAGTGCAGAGTACACTATATAGTTTTGTTCTTATATTTATATTATTTATATATTTTATAGTATATATTACTTTTTTTGTATATTTTGCAATATAAATATAAATACTAATTATATTTATCATAAATTTTATATGAAAATTGATATTTCTACATCCTTTTTTGATATTGTCATACTCTTGCTAACTCTAAACTCTAACCAAACCTAATAATTTATATTGATTTTTATTAACAGAGTATAGCAATATCAAAAAGGTGTAGAAATATTAATTTTCTATTAATTTATATATATTGCAGCAATGTTATTATAGGGGTAGAGTGTAGAAATAAAAAAAAGAGGTATAAAAATATTAGGTTTTATTTTATATTTATATTTTTATTTTTTAATTTGGCAGTTCTGTCTTTATTATTTTATTAAAAATATTATAAAATTCTTACTAACAGATAGAGTAAATTTTTTATACTATATTTCTATATTACTAAAGACTTACTTAGTATTAAAGCCCAGATGCAATTAAATTTAGCAGCTATTAACTTTACATTAAATCCTTAACTTACTAAGGATATAGGCTCTCTAATTATTAGCTATAATAGCTGCTTACTTTGTTAAGAAGTCAAACAAGAAAGTACAAAAAAGAAAAACAAAGATATAAAGAATTATAATAAAATATACAAGCAAAAAAAGGAAAAATAAAAAAATATCAAGAAAAAAAACAAAGAAAATTTGTCTATTCTACAGTAATATTATATTTATAAGTTTGTAAAAGGTTTTAAAAATTACATATTACTAAATAAACTAGTCTTTACTTTAAATTCATCTAAATAATATATACAGACTTTAGAACTTACACTTAAAGTTTAATTCTCAATTCTATAGTTCAAATAGTTCAAGACTTTCATATATCTTATAAACAAGCATCTTATATCATTATTAAACTATTCCTTAAAATTAATGAACAAATATATGAATAACTTTGAAAACTCTACAGTATTAACTTCTCTAATTTGAGAAAGTAGCAACAAATAGTATATCCCTATTCTAAATCAAATATAGTATTACTTTAAATGTTATCCCAACTTTAAGAATCTAGGTGAGTCTTTGACTACTCTAGTAGGTTTAGATTGCAGATAAATATGTCTGAGCTTTTATTACATGTAATTTTTATTTTTACTTGTATTTTACAAGTAGTAATATTTGCATGGCCTCACCATTAACATTAAAAAAAAACCAGTAGTATTTTTATATAACTTTATATAGTTACTATTTTTTAAAATTACTAATAAAGATATGAGCAAGGCCTTACCTCAATAACAAAAATATATATATATATAATTTATATACTAAAATTTTTTAAAAAATTAAGCTTTAAAAAATATTTTTTAGCAAAATCTTTATTCTGATTAGTTACAGTATTAAACTCCAAATTTTCAAATTATGTTACTTTTAATTTAAATTAATTCTTTCAAAACTGAATAAACAATATAATGTTTAATAAACTTTATATATTAAATAAAAATCTATTAAATTTATAAAAGCTTTTATTTTTGAAGTTATATAAATTAAATTTTACTAATAAAAAAAAATATGTGACTTTCTGTCTCCCACTGTATAAGTAAGCATTTATACCCAATTCTTTGGTTGTTTTAAAACTTGCATTAATTTGTCTTCACGAGAATTTTTATCGGGAATGTGCATATATTCCCATCGTGCAGTTAATGGAAGTGACATAAATATACTTTCAATTCTTGCACCGGGCGTTTGAAGACCGAATTTAGTCCCACGATCCCATACAAGGTTGAATTCAACATATCTACCTCTACGTAACTGTTGCCATTCTTTTTCTTTTGCCGTAAATGTTGAATTCATCCTCCGTTTCACCAATGGAACATATGATGGTAAAAATGAATTCCCACATTGTTTAATAAATTCAAATATTTTTTCTGGAGGTTTGTTATCTAAGTCATCGAAAAATATCCCTCCTACTCCACGCGCCTCTTTACGATGTTTCTAATAAAAGTATTCGTCGCTCCATTTTTTTGAAGTCAGGGTAATAATTTGGATCGTGTTTATCACATGCTTCTTTTAAAGTTTTATGGAAGTGGATGGCATCTTCTTCATAAAGATA